TATATCATATATATGTATATATATATATATATGTATGTATATATATATATATATATATATATATATATATAAATATATCTGGTCTATTTGTATTACACTACTCAAAATTATAAATTGGATATAAATTAATATATACATTATAGTTTATATTTTATATTCTTTGCCAGAAATAAACCAGTGTTTTCTACACTATCTCATTGGCTGGACAAAAATTAATTAAAATAAAATATAGTCCAAATGTTCAACCTAAGAAAAAAAACAATAAAAAAATAAAATAATAAAACCACAACAACAGAAGGCCACTGTCAGCGTTGATTAAAAATATAATTTATTTTTAAAAATCCTTTACATACATTTTATACAGAAACTGGTCGCAGACATAGCGTTTTTTGTTTTTGATTTTTAATGAAGCTTTATTCTGTGTATTAAATTCTCTCTGTACACGCGAGTCATAACGATGCACATTGTCCTGTATAGAAGCAAACATTGCATAGTTGGCACAGCATTAACACCAGACAGAAACACTCAATGCACTGCTGCTCGTCAAGCTTACAGAAGGGCTTTTCTGTTGTCTTGTTTTGCTTGTTCATTTGGCTTTTATTTTCCGCACCGAGCCTCTCATTTGGATTGTGGGAAATGGCAGTTGGTTGGAGGCTTTTTCGTGTTGGTGGGGTGGCAGCGGCTGCAGGCAGTGAAACTGCAGACAGATCACATATAATGAGCTCTGTGTTTCACATTTACAAGCACACCAACACTCGCATCTACTGTGATGGATTTATGCAAAAATATTTATGCATAAAGTACGCAGTCTCCAGTTGCATAGACCATCATTAACTGTAAACTGTCTGTTCTGGTTGTAAACACATTTAGGATTTGTGAGTTTAACTTTAGGTCTTGGTTAAGACTTCTGTTACATTATTTCCAGCAAATGGGAATTTTAATTTTTGAGTTGAAGTCAAAACGACCCTGTTTACTTTCTTAATACATGTTCCTTATTGTATGGAAACCCTTTTCTGCCACATACTGTAAAGTAAAAAAAAAGAAAAATAAATGCTTTACATAAATCATGATTTTGACAAAAAAGTCAATGTTAAATGTCATTATTATAGCAAAAAATTCAAAATGATGACAAGTCAAAATCATGAGACTCATAATTAACAACATTGTAAAAATTGGCGTAATTATAACAAAAGTTAAAATGGCAAATTTAAATTGTAACAGCCATAATTATAAAATTACAAGTCAAAATTGACAAAAAGTTGACAGAAATTATAAGCCATTATGACAAAAAGTCAAAATTATCACGCCAAAATCATTCTGGGAAAAAAAATCAAATTTATGACCAACTGAAATTGACAAAGTCTGAGAAAAAGTTAAAATTGACAGTTATAACAAAAAAAATTTACATTTTGTAGTCTAAACTATAAATCATGAGATAAATTGAAATTATGACCATTTAAAATTGACAAAATGTCAAAATTACGAGATACTAAGTCTTTATGACAGTCAAAATTGAGTCATTATGGCAAAAAGTCAAAATAAGCTACTGAGTCATTATTGTGACAAAGTCTGAGAAAAAGTTCAAATTGAAAATAAAAATAAATTGACAAAAAAAATTCAAAATTGACAATGTTATAACGAAAAAGTTTACATTTTGTCATCTAAATTATAAATCATGAGATAAATTGAAATTATGACCATTTAAAATGGACAAAAAGTCAAAATTATGATACTAAGTCATATGACAAAAGTCAACATTTTCAGAAGTAAAAAATTATGATACTAATTATGACAAGTCAAATTTATGAGATAGTAAGTTGATTATGAAAAAAGTCAAAATTATGATATTTTAAGTCATGATAAAAAAGTCAAAATTATGAGATACTAAGTCATATGACAAAAGTCAACATTTTCACAAGTCAAAATCATTATGAGTTGAAATGACCAATTGAATTTGACAAAAAAAGTCTGAGAACAACTTAAAATTGTAAAATTAAAAAGTAAATTATGACCAAAAAACCCCACAAAACTGACAAAATTTCATAACAAAAATGTTGAAATTTTGCCATCTAAATTAAGTCCTACTGAGATTGAGTTAAAATTGACAAAATATCAAAATTATGAGACATTAAGTAATGAAAAATTGAGACACTAAGTCATTATGACAAGTTATGACAAATTGTCAGTATAACAAAAAATTTCAGTAAATCTAAATTATAAGTCATAATGACATGTTGAATTTATGACAAGTCAAAATCGACAAGTCAAAATTTATGAGATACTAATGTAATAATTTTGACAAAGTCGAAATCTTGACAAATCAAAATATAAAAAAAGTCAAACTTTTGTCATAATTATGTTAATTTGATCTCATAATTTTGACTTTTTAGGTTATAATTTCAAATGTTTGTCACAATTTTGTCTTTTCATGTCATTAGTTCGAATTATTATCTCAAAATTGAGACTTAATGTGAAAATTTAGAAGTTTTATGTTATAATTATGATTTATCAATGCATGATTTTTTCTTAGGTGGTGGAAATGGGCTTCCATAGTATAGTGAACAATTCATCAGTATAAATATTTTAAAAGGTTCTCATAATCTTGCATCAGAATATAATAACTCGCTCCGCCTCTGAAAAACCATTGCTTCATCATCACCAAGCCCTCTTTCCCCAAGACATTACTTTCCTAAATGTTACAAGTTAATGTGCATGTAAATATGTTCTGATAAACTCGCTACAAAAAACAAGCAAATATATTCCATAGAAATGTTTCATTCATGTATCTGGATATTTGTAAGTAAAATGTCTGACATCTTTCATGTGATTTTTTTCTAATGTTCACTGGTCAGAGATCTTATTTCTAGTGTCTGGATGAAGCATCACACAGGAGTGACATCTTTAATATTTTCCAGATGAATTGATTCCACCATACTGGTAGTGTTGATAGGAGAGCTTCAGACCTGCAGCTCTGACTCAAACCTAATCAAACCAATCAAACCTGAGTTTTGACCTAACCAGACTCTGCAACTAACAGGTCATTTTGCCTTATAACACTGGGTAGCCAACAATCTTTATATTAAATATATAATATGTTCTGATTGGTTGTAATTGTGTCATATTGTACAGTATTTTCACTTTGTGTCTGGACAGAAAAATAACCTGTCACTGGACACTGGTTAGGACACAGTATGAGTGCTCAACCCCTTACAATAATTCACCATAACCACAGCTTCCACCAAAAGTTACTACAGTTATGATTACTGCAATAAACCTATGGTAACTCACTGTCATAAACTTATAATTAAAGGATTCTGAAAAGAATTATATGAATTCATTACAATATTCCAGTTGTAACTGTAGTATCCATCACATTTTGGGAGAAATTATAGTCACCATGGTACATTTTTGTAAGGGATAAATTTACTCTGGTTAAAATAATATGCAATACTTTTTTTAATTTTTTTTTTTAAATAACTGCAATAATACTATTGCACAGTAAAAAAACAAAAAAAAACACTAGTCATTATTATTATTATTATTAATGATAAAAAGAACAATTAAATAAATAATTGTGAAAACTAGTCATAATTGTAATAATAATAATTATTATTTTATTTTTAAATGATATATTAATATAAATACTATTCAAAATCTTATTTTATTATTTAAATAAAAATCGTATTTAAATAATAAAATAGAAATAACATTTTGAATAATATTAATTAATTGATTGTTTTTGAATAATAATAATAATAATAATAAAAATAACAAGTACAATAATTAATTATTCCATTTTTATTTTATTATTTAAATCATGAAAAATTCAATCAATAGGGCAATATATTACTTTTGCAATAATACAACTGCACTGTAAATTGTAAAAAAAAAAAAATATGTAAAATAATAATAATAATAATAATAATAATTTACATCATAAAACAAAATGACCAATATTTCTGTCTGTCTTAATTTCTTGGTTTTCAAACGTTAAACCATAGAACGCTTACTTTGGTAGAAAAAATCGTAGGGAAACCTTAAAGCTGTGGTTGTTAACCTTATTACAATAACTTGATATTATCCTTCACTGGCATTAAAAAAAAATTTAAATGAAAGATTTATAGAATTATATTAATTCATTACAATATGCCAGTAGTAACAATAACTGCAGTATCTATCACATTTTGGCAGAAACTATAGTCAGTATGGTAAGTGTTGTGAGGGGTAAATTTACTCTTGTTAAAACAAAGCGTCTAGCAGAGCGAGATGTGTAAATGTTGACATGAAACACTGATGATGCACAACAGAAACAGCCCATGCAGAGCCAGTAAAGATCATCATTATTAAAGTGTGATGAAACATTGCATTTCAGAAAATCAAAAAAAATTATTCTCAGTTCCCTGGCAAGTGCTCACATGCACTTTTGTTCAACAAACAAACATATTTACTGTACGTCTTCAGATACCTGCATTACAAAAATAATACAATTCAAATGGGATCTGAACGGTAACTGGATTTTAAAGGCCACTTTAAGGTACTCACACTAAATACTGTACTCATGTCTCAAAATATTATATCACATGAAGGGTTTGTTGTTTTTGCATCCACTAGATGGCACCACAAAATTCAGTAAAAATGATGACTAAAGGATGATAAAGTGGGAGATTTCAGCTGTCGGGGGGACCCTGTGCGTGCAAACTGGGAGGGTTTGGGTGTGTTTTGGTTGTCTAGTACGTGCCTGAAGTGTCTCGACCCTGTTCCTGCTTCACCTTTGACCCCAAATCGGCGGAATCCACGTACATGGACAGCAGTGCTGCGCACGGCGTCTTGGTTTTTGATCGTTGTTTTGATCGTGTGGCAACACAACTTGAGCTGGACGTCATCGTTAGCAGCGTTATTACCGCCAAAGTGAGGGTCACTGTTCCTTGGCCATGGCGGCGATGCTGTTGTCATGACGACCCATCTCCTCCAGGACAGTGGCGAGCTGGTTGAGGTTTCCGTGTGGGAAGTGTTGAGCTTCCCACAGGTCCAGAATCACTCCGGTCGGACTCGTCTTAGTCGCAAAGTACTTCAGATACCTGTAGGGCAGGCGAGAGGAATCAGACGCTTAGAGGTGGGTGGTAGGACCACAATATTTCACCATATAGTTATTTGTCTTGGAAATTCAACATTTTTTATTCTATTTTATTGTGGTTATGTTTATTTTTTGCATGATGCAGTGAAACCTGATTTGATTATTTTCTCTTTTTTTGTAATTTAATGCATTATATTAGTGAGATTATTTCTTTAAAAATAATGCAATAAAAATGTTTACGTTTCATAAACATTAAATAATAAAAAAAAATATTACTATTGCACAGTAATTAAAAAAGTATTGAATAATAATATAATAATAATAATAACACTTATTATTAGTTGTTACTTCTATTATTATTCATAATATTATTTTAAGTTTAGTATTTAAATCATAAAAAAATAATCAAAAATATTACTATTGCACAGTAAAAACAAATAGTAACCACAAAAACAATAACAATAATTATTATTCAAAATATTTTTATTTTATAGTAATAATAATAATAATAATTATTATTCAAAATATTATTTATTTCAAATAATCAAATTGCAATAATATTTAAATAATAAAAATGTAATCCATAAGGAAATATATTACTATTGCAATAATACTACTACAGTGTAAATAAAAGACAACAATAATAATTATAATTTATTTAACAAAAGTAAAATTACAGCACCAATATTCTTAATTTCTTTGCTTTGGAAGTCCATATAAATTAATAGTATTAATAACACTAATAATAATAATAAACGCCATACAGGCTAAAATACAGAAAGAAAATACATCCCTGTTTGATCTATTAAAAGATTTACTCATCAGCCACAATAATGTAATGTCTTATGTTATATAATGTAATAATCTTCATTTGGGGTCTTTTCTCAGTAAATATTGATACCTACAAATAATTGCAATTCATTTGATTAATTTATTCAATTAAAAATAAGAATATAGCCAATATGCACAGCTGTCTATATACAACTGAATAAGGTGCTACAACACTTATAACATGTTCTTTGCTTTGTATTTTTGCATTAATTCATGTTTTCCCATCATTCTCTCAAAGCAAATATATGTACAGTACAGCAAAATCTCTTCCACCATCATATGGAGTATAACATCAGCCAGTCCTACAGATCCTGTATTTATCAAAGCTCCTGTAATCTGAGTTGAATGGAGAAGCTCTCTCTGGTCTCCATCAGAATAAAAACATCTCTGCAGTGGCTCTGGAGATCTGCAGTCTATGACTGATGAAGAACTTTCAGAGCCTGTCTATTCACTTTTAACATCCTCCTCGCTTTATCTCTCTACTTCCTGCCCCCTGTGAACTCAAACTCTCTCGTCTTCTGCCTCTTTCGTGCCTGCTGGTCCTCAGAGGTGAACAGCGAGCTCTCCATTCTAAACTCTCTCTCGTTTCAAATGAGATCTCTCGTACTTTAACCTTCCTGCAGTAACACCTCAACCATAGGGGTCCTTCGCTTTTTTTGAGCTTTTCCTCTAATTACGTGAAATGTGGAGGCACACAGAAACGCTGCTATTTTAAAAAGTTGATGTTCAAGAGAGTGAATATATCTCTTCAATTCTCCAGGCGGACCGAAACGAACAATGGGAAATTTCTCTTTAGCTCGCCTGCTGTTTTTCCACTGTTAATTGTCTTCAAACTCTCCTGTGAGATACTTTTAGAGCAGATTAGTTTCTCTTCTATCGCTTTTCAAATAAAAACGACACTGCAGTCTCAGCACACTGATGATAAACAAACGCTCATACTGGAGATGTGCTAAAATGTTGACCAAAATAATGATAGCTAAAAAAAAAATACTCATTTTATGGTCAATGAGCATTATATTACATTATTAAAAATCTATGCAATTCAAAATATTTCCATTAATTGAAATAAAGTTGAAAACAAATTAAAGTATTATTACAATTAAAAATGTTGCCTTGGCAACGATCTGAAATCAAATAAAAAATAAAGTACTAAAATGATTAAAACTAAAACTGAAGAGAAAAAATAAATAAATTAAAGCTAAACAGAAACATCAAAAATCCTAAAACTTATTATATTAAATTACATTATAAACTTGAATTATATAATATAATATTATATTATATGATGTTTCTTGAGCAGCAAATCAGAATATTAGAATGATTTCTGAAGAATCATGTGACATTGAAGACTGGAGTGATGATGCTGAAAATTCAGATTTGATCACAGGAATAAATTACATTTTACAATATATTACAATAGAAAATAATTATTTTATATTATATATATTTTTTTACATTATTGCTGCTGTATTTTGATCAAATAAATGCAGCCTTTGTGAGAATAAGAGATTTATAAAATCTTACAGACCCCAAACTTTTGAACCCTAGTCAATATGGCATCTAATCACTTTCAAACTCAATGGAAACTAAATGAAGGGCTAAATGATTGTGTGTGAATGCATGTGCGTGCAGTGTTGATGTGTGTAAACGTCACCTGTCCAGGTTGAGTTTGTGTGCCAGTATTCTCCAGTCATTTCCGCGTGTGTGCGGGACGTCCAGGCTGCTGCACAGTTTGCTTCTGATGCTGACCGGGATCCTGAATGCACTCGGACCCGTTAGAACCGTGATACTGCTGCCTGGGTCCATCAGGGACGTGTCGATGCTCTGGACATCCTGCAGAACACACACACACACACACACACGCACAAGCACGCACACGCACACGCACACACACACACACACACACACAAAATAAATGAATTTTTACTTCTGTTGTACATAATTCTATCTGATTTGTGACTATGTTCCAAATGCCATAACTTTGTATTGCTTTGAGATATCAACACAAAATGTGGCCCAGATGCAGTTGACATGATTGTGAACAAGCCAAAACTTGATTTCATGCCTAGTGCAATAGTCATCATGAAAAACATGAATAATAACAACATAAATTGCATCAATTTTTCTTGGGTTTCCTCAGCAGTGTTGTAACATAAGAGCCCCCAAACACGATCAAAATCTTTTTTTTACATTTTAAAAGGTTTTCAATTAAATGAGACCATGAATTTGATGCTACTTTTTTGTAGAGTTATAAACTCTTAATTTTAAGTGCGTCTTAGATGTGAAATCTTAAAAAATGCCTTCAGGTTGTAAGGGCTTAATAGATATCAACATTATAAACAGAGATCAACAACACATAGTTCTACTGATCACTGTGACACGCCTTGCTATAACTTGTGCTTCTTCATTTCATGTATCTTCGTATGTATAACAGCGTCATGCATCTCAGTCCCCCGTAGAACTCCACTGCTCTTATGGCATTTAGAAATAAATGTTCTCACTGAATCAGGGCTCTTTCACTGCTGGAGATACTCTCTGCTTCTCGGAAATAATATCGACTGACATTTCAATGCATTAAAATCCGAGCTGAAATCTCAACTGTGTGTGTGTGTGTGTGTGTGTGTGTGTGTGTGTGCGTGTGTGTGGAGGCGGCGGTTTAATTAAATCACACTCGTTGGTGATATTATTCGTAAAAAGCAACAGCACCAAATAAAAGCTTCTGCTTTTGTACATCTATAAGAACAGAAGCAGGGAATGTGAAATAAGTACAGCTGTTTTGCATTTGAGTGACACAGAATATAAAATTTCCCACAAAACACAAAATTCAAATGATGCATGAAATTGTTTAAAAGTGGCAGTAAAGTAGTGGTTGCATAGACTAATCGACTTCAATTCTCTGCCGTGACGCTTTAAAGGGATACTCCACTCCAAAATGAAAATTTTGTCATTAATGACTTACCCCCATGTCGTTCCAAACCCCTAAAAAGCTTCGTTCATCTTCGGAACACAATTTAAGATATTTTGGATGAAAACTGGGCGGCTTGTGACTGTCCCATTGACTGCCAAGTAAATGACACTGTCAAGGTCCAGAAAAGTATGAAAGACATCGTCAGAATAGTCCATCTGCCATCAGTGGTTCAACCGTAACGTTATGAAGCGACGAGAATACTTTTTGTGTCATTTACTTGGCAGTCAATGGGACAGTCACAAGCCTCCCGGTTTTCATCCAAAATATCTTAAATTGTGTTCCGAAGACGAACAAAGCTTTTAGGGGTTTGGAACGGCATGGGGGTAAAGTGATTAATGACAACATTTTTATTTTGGGGTGGAGTATCCCTTTATGCTTGACGTTGACTAGTCACTGGTCCTATAGAGGGCGCAACAGGATTCACACACGCAATCGCTCTCTCACTAATGCATTCATACTGTATAAATGCAGTCTTTACTGTGCTACTTTATCTGTATCTGATTTAGAACGAGCAGAATTTAGAATTTAGAATCTGTGAGAAATAATAACGACCCAAAGACAAAAGAACTGATAAAAATGAGCCGTTATAGGAGCAATAGCCATGCGGCCAGCACTGTGTCATATGCTATAGCTGTGCTCAAGGTATTCGAGTCTCAGCTCAAGGTTCAGGCTTATTTGTTCATTAATGACGTCATCTCGACTTTCAACAATGATAATAATGAGAAATGATTCTTGAGCTGCAAATCAGCATATTATAATGATTTCTGAAGGATAATGTGACACTGAAGACTGAAGTAATGATGCTGAAAATTCAGCTTTGAATCACAAAAATCATTCAAATCAGCATATTAGAATGATTTCTGAAGGATATTGTGACACTGAAGACTGAAGTAATGATGCTGAAAATTCAGCTTTGAATCACAAAAATCATTTACATTTAGAAAAATATTACAATAGAAAACGTCTCGGTTATGTATGTAACCCTCGTTCCCTGAAGGAGGGAACGGAGACGTCACGTCGGAGGACCGACGAATTGGGATCTCGCTTAGAGGGACCAATCTACTTCGAGTGTAAACTAAATGAGCCAATGCACATTGGCATGCGATTATTGCATCCAGCTGCTGCTGATCACAGCGTGAGTATAAGTAGGCAGCAGATGCAGCGCATTTTCAGGTTTTCGCTGAGGAGCCGAGCCGATGACCCGGCCGCTCAGCAGTGGTACAGGAGCTGTACCATCTGATCACCACCTGATCCCTGAAGGGAGTAGCGGGAACCTTGGGCACATAGCCAGGCCGGGGCCTCAGGGTTACCTGGGAATCAGCAGGCCCGAACTCTAGGCACGAATCGTTGACCGAAAATGCATGCAGGTCCCCTACCCTCTTGATAGAGGCCAATGCTAGCAGGAGCAAAGTCTCCATTGAAGGAACTTCGGCTCAACCGCCTGCAAAAAGGCTCAAATGGGCCCTGCTGTAGTGCCGTGAGCACCAGAGTCAGGTCCCAGGAACAGCTATTTGAAATTGTAATAATATTTCACAATTTGTGAACCAATAAATGCAGCCTTGGTGAGCAGAAGACTTTTAAGGAAAAGCACAAAACAACATTACCAGTTTTAGTAATGTTGAATCAAAATGAAAACGAAAACTTAAAACCACCCAAAACACCCTAGCAACCTACCTCAACACCTTAGCAACCACACATAACACCCTAGCAACCACCCATAGCACCCTAGCAACCACCCTCAACACCTTAGCAACCACCCAGAATCAGTGTTGTTAATGTTAACAAAAAGTGATAATGAAAAATGTAAAATAATTTGCATTAATTGAAATAAAGCTAAAATAAAATAGTGTAAATACTATGAAAATTTTAAATGTTATTTTTAATAAGTTATTTAATTATTAAAACTAAAACTGAAAAAAAAGAAAGCTAAATAGAAGGGCACAGGTAAATGTGACATTTATTATAATGGGTTTATGTGAAGATTGTTTTAAGTTCACTTAAATTAGAAGTTATTTTTTAAAGTCTAATAAATGATAAAATGAATAGCTCTCGATTATACTGTAATGTTGAATGGCTATAGTCAATGGTTAAATATTAGAGGGGGGGGGCAATTTTATAGAGAAATCAGTATTGGTTATCATTGACAATGGCCTTCAGTCATAAAAAAAGATGCCATTAAACAAATATTAAAAAATATACTGTCTTTATGTTGTTTGTAAATTAATTTGAAGATTGAATGTGAAATTATTGCAATATAAAAGTATATTTAAAAACTTTAATGTTAGGTGGGATTAATCGCGATTAATTTCAGAAAAATGTGCGATTAATTAGTTACATTTTTTAATCAATTGACAGCACTAATATATATATATATACAGTATCTCACAGAAGTGAGTACACCCCTCACATTTTTGTAAATATTTTATTATATCTTTTCATGTGACAACACTGAAGAAATGACACTTTGCTACAATGTAAAGTAGTGAGTGTACAGCTTGTATAACAGTGTAAATTTGCTGTCCCCTCAAAATAACTCAACACACAGCCATTAATGTCTAAAGAGTTCTTTGCCATGAGGTGCCATGTTGAACTTCCAGTGACCAGTATGAGAGAGTGAGAACGATAACACCAAATTGAACACACCTGCTCCCCATTCATACCTGAGACCTTGTAACACTAATGAGTCACATGACACCCGGGAGAGAAAATGGCTAATTGGGCCCAGTTTGGACATTTTCACTTAGGGGTGTACTCACTTTTGTGGCCAGCGGTTTAGACATTAATGGCTGTGTGTTGAGTTATTTTGAGGGGACAGCAAATTTGCACTGTTATACAAGCTGTACACTCACTACTTTACATTGTAGCAAAGTGTCATTTCTTCAGTGATGTCACATGAAAAGATATAATAAAATATTTACAAAAATGTGAGGGGTGTACTCACTTCTGTGAGATACTGATATATATATATATATATATACTGACAACAAACTTTTGAACAGTAGTGTATAATATCACACAAAAAATTAAACTAAATTATGAGAAAAGCCATGGGAGGAAATGACATAAGACAACTAGAATACTGAAACCAGGTTTTAAAATTCTTTTTAATTCCATTTCTTCTTCATCTTCTTCTTATTATTATTGTAAAAGTGTAATTTCTCCTGAAAATTTAAATTAAAAACAAAATTACGTGCAAAGCTACAACAGACCAAAACGTCGGATGAAAACCAAAGCTCTACAGAATCTTCCTCATTTAAACATCACTGTACAAGTTTAGCAAAATGTGCATCTTTGATCAATAAATGCACTCAATCTATTTTTACTAGTTTGAAATTACAAGTGCATTGGAAACAGTCCCTGAAGAGGCCGAACATCAGTCAGTCAGACGCGCTTTACAGCCCAGAAGAACTCAATTCATCGCAATGCATCCATCTGTAATGTTAATGAATCTGTGCTGTTCTTAATTAGACACACCGATTAAAGCCCAGGAGCGCCGGAGAGAGAAAAACACAGCGGCTTGGTGAAAACCCTTTGTGATGTATAGACAGATGCGTGAGGGTGTTAAGAGTAGCTGAAGCTCTTCTCACAGCCTTCAGACAGATTAAACCGAAACAGCCTCTTCTCCAGAGACGCAAACGCATGGGAAAGACAGCTGATGGAGAGCATGGAGCCAATTCAAACACTATGAGCTGCCTAACTAGACAGCATTACACATTTATCAGAATATCAATCCCAGATTTCTGAAATGGAAACCAGGGATATTTCCTATTTGAGTGGTAAAAATTTAATTTAAATATCCATCTCCAACAGGGTCAATACATCTTTGAATGTTTTTGTTTTTGTGTGTTGCCTGTACTATTAATATAATTATGATGATGTTTAGTTTTATTATTATGATTCTTCTATTTTTTATGATTTTGATCTAGTTTTAATACCATTCACCATACACTATGAAAATAGTAAATAGTAATCATGGTAAATAGCAAGCAGTTATATTATAACAATATATTTTCTAAAAATAAAACTCTATTTGACAGATATTTGTAACAATTCCTGTTTGTAATTGTATTTAATATATTCACTGATTATGCTGTATACAGACATTACAACTTTTGTAACTTTTCCATTTTGTTTTCTTTTTTATTTCTTCTTCTTCTTCTTTTTTGTGCTTGGAAATTACTCTTACTTTCTTTATTATGTTTACTATTTTGCATTTCAGGCTCATAAAAATGCAATATAATTATGTTGCATTTTTATTTTCAAAATGAGCCTAAAATGAAAAATAAGCATAATTAGGAATTATAGTAAAGATACATTTCCAAAAGTATAAACATAATACAACATTTGAAAAGTTGTAATTAGTGTAGCCTATACTCAGTTTGTGAAAATGAAAATACTGTAAAAAAAAAAAAAAAAAAAGTACAAATATTTGTTAAGTACAGTTTTATTTATCATAAGTTCTCATATTTATTTTGTTTTTGTAAAGTCATAATTTTGATCTGTAGCTATTTGCAATAGTTACCATTTGCTGTTTCTCATAGTGTGATGTTTGGTGAATTAAAAAAAAAAATATTTTTAAATAGGTTCAGTTTCATCCTCAAACAACATTATAATTAATAATTATAATATAAGTATATGGAACCAACAACATTTAAAAAAACAAAGACATACAAAAACATATTGCCCCCAGTTTTTAATTCATAGACAATCACAAATGCGATTTCAATGATACTTTGACCACTGAACTAGGTAATTGTTAGAAAACACTCTCTGTCTTGTTAAGAGAATGTTCCAGATATGCCTCACCCCTCCTTTTTTTCTCCCTCTCTCTCACTCTTCTATATACAACGCATTCTCTCTGAATCCCCCCTTCTGTATCCATCTCTCTCTCTTGATATTATGTTTTAAATATCTCTTACTCATATGCGAGGTATGCATGCTTAAATGTATACATTAGCTTCTCTTGGTTCAAATGTCCCAAATAAGGACATGATAGCTAGGAATGAGGTTCGTGATGAAACTCTGAAGACAGTTCAGCATTCTTCGCAAAAGTCTATTCCTAATATGTCCATGTTTTTCTGTACATGTGGCCATTTTATATAAACACATGTTCTTGGCCAAAGATCCTATGTGTATGTTATTCATATCCTCATTGGTTAAGAGGATGAAACTCCCCTCGACATATGCCTATATAATATCTGTATTTCTATGAATAAATTGAAGTATTGAGGATACATTTGACTGTGTGTTTTCTTACTTCCCGGCCGTCTATCTACACTTTAAGTAACTGAGAATTCTTCAAGGTGGCAAAGAGAATTTACAGAGGGACCAAATTGTTATTCTTTATTAACAAATGTCCCTGGTTTTCATCTTATTTTGGGGATGTTTAAAATTGTCGACAAAACAATCCACACCCTATTCAAGCTCAGTTGTTAAAGCATTATTACTTTTAATTTAAAGGGGTCATATGATGTGATTTCATGTTTTCCTTCGTCTTCGGTGTGCTAAAAGCTATTCGTGCATACAGAAGATCCATAAAGTTACAAGAATTAAAGTCTCAAACCCAAAGAGATATTCTTTATAAAAGTGAGCGCTCAGCCACGCCCTCCTAAAATGCCTCGTTTAAATACGCCCCCACATGTCTATGTCACTGTGTGGGAAGATTTGCATAATCTTCGGTGTGCTAAAAGCTATTCGTGCATACAGAAGATCCATAAAGTTACAAGAATTAAAGTCTCAAACCCAAAGAGATATTCTTTATAAAAGTGAGCGCTCAGCCACGCCCTCCTAAAATGCCTCGTTTTAAATACGCCCCCACATGTCTACGTCACTGTGTGGGAAGATTTGCATAACACCGCACAAATGTATATGCAAAGAAAGAAGGCGTAACTTTTATTCTCGCTGTAGTATTGTTGCCGCCGCCACCGTGACGTGGAGACGCTGTGTGTTTCGTTGCGAAAGCGAAACTACTTTGAAAAGAGGACACAACTAGAAATCAGTGGTTAAGTTTTATTTACAACACTGTTCCAGAACACGTCAACCCAAATATTCGAGTGTGTGCAGCGCATTTTATGGAGGAAAGTTTCCTGAACCTGGTAAGGGGGGTAACATTTCCGTCACATGCTTGAGGTTTCGGCCAATCACAACACACTAGATAGCTGGCCAATCAGAGCACACCTCACTTTTCAGACCGATGAGCTTTGTAAAAATTGTTGCGTTTCAGAAAGGCGGGGCATAGAAGAGCAACAATAATGTACAGTATGTGGAAAATAATGTGTTTTTTAACCTTAAACCGCGTAAACACATTGCATTACACCAAATACACAAAATAATGTTTTTTTAGCAACGTCATATTACCCCTTTAACATGAATAGTTAGTATGTAACTGGCTTGAAAGCATACATTATTTTTGATAATTGATTATAATAGCGCTCTGCTCTCATCCAAGTTATATTCTTCATAGCTAAAGTAGTGTGTGCGATCAAATCATCAGTGTAGCTCGCAGCGCCCTCTGTTTTTTGAAAATAATCACTACATGATTGCTCTGCTAACCAACGGGTTACTGTACGGATGTTTTTTTTTGCAATGTATTTGTTTTGAACCAGCTGTACGGGGACGTCTGGTAGAGGTCTGCACGGGCTTTAAACTGAAGCCCGAACCCGACCCGTACCCGAGATCATCTGACCCGGCCCGACCCGACACAGTTAAATTTAGAGCCCGAACCCGAAATCTTTTTTTTTTCCACAACGAATAGCCAATTTAAAAAAAAATGCAGTATTTCACAATTGCATGCAACGGTCAGTAAACAAATACATTTAAAGAAACAGAATCATTAAGGCTCGGCCAGTTCACAAGGCAAAAGAAAAAACACTTATCAGTTATGAAAGTTTATGAACATCAGGTGCAGTGGTCACATAAATTCTGCTGAGTTTTTGAATGGTTGTATACGACAAGACGATAATTCTTCCATCGTGCAAATTATGGTCATTTTCGTCAGTTAAAGCTCGTTAGCATTCGGCCTGCTTTAAATCAGACACAGAGATGCAGTGTGGTAAGATCGCATTTATTTGAATTAATTAATTATAAAATTTATTTGAATTAGCGAGAGAGAGAGAGAGAGAGGGATGAAAGTTGCATGTGTGAACCTGCGTCTGCGCGCCTCTCTACAAGCAATGAGGCTTAGTTACTTCAAAAACAGCGATTTTACCCCCTCATTGCAGAGAAATATAAAGTTGCAAGTAATTACTCTTTTGAAGCTATTTTACTATTAAAAGTTTCCGTGCTGTGTTGTCGTTGTCGTGTGCACTAATGTGTGTGCGTGCGTCTATGAAAGCAGTGTAGCCTACTGCATATAGTTTTAGTTTAGCTATAAACCCGAGCCCGACACGAACCCAAAGCTATTCATTAAACATTAACCCGAACCCGACCCGAAACCCGAAAGTATTTCGGGACCCGTCGGGCTTGGGTCGGGTAGCAGACCTCTAACGTCTGGTCACCCTATTCCAGAATGCATTGCAACAAGTTTGGAAATAATATAAAAGAGTGACGGAAATAAATTGGGAGATGGAATTCATTACCTGCAAGAGGAATCGAGGCATAACAGCATAACAGATGAGTTTGTGATAACATCAAGGACCTAAAGATGTCCGAGCGGGACAGCAGAGAACGTGTTACTGTACCTCGCTCAGGGTGGTGTAGAGCTGGAAGATCTGCCCTTCTCCCTCCACCTGTCTGACGCACAGCTTGCAGCACAGCTCACACACGCTCACACTCTGACGCTCCAGAGCAAAGGAGCAATGCAGCCGCCGCACCGATCCACTCCACACCTGAGAGAAAGACAGCTCCTGCATGGACACACAGACAGACACTTTACCTGACGTCTGTTCAGAATTCAGAATAAGAATAACATATTACGTTACTTAATCACAAATATTAAAATAAATAAAAATTATTTCAAATATTAACAGTGACGTCTGTATATTTTTAACAAATAAACAATAGTACTACTACTACTACATGACAAAAAATAAGTAATATTAAATAATCTTAAATGAAATGTTATATTAAATTACTCATTTAAATTAAAATATAAAAATTTAAAAATGAACAAATATTAATATTGACGGTTGTATATATTTAATAATAAATAATATAAAAATAAGCAATATTAAAATACTTTATATTATTTTTAATATTATATTAAATCACTCAAACCCTTAAATTAAAATATTAAAATAAACGTAAAAATGACAAACATTAATATTCAAGTCTGTATATATGTAATCAATTATACAAAATCAGTCACATTAAATTATATTGCATTTGACATTATATTAAATTCAAATCAAATATATTTAAAAATATTTAAAAATATAAAATATTAATATTGATTAATATTAATAATAATAATACTATAAAATATGCAAAATATATACATTTTAGTTATATTAAATCACTTCATTTTAAATGTTATACTAAATTGCGTAACTTATTAAAATCATTTAAAATATTAACATACAACTCTGCATTTATTTATTAATAATAAAATTACATACAAATTAAGTGATATTATATTATGAAATTGTTATATACAATTATTATATTAAAATAAATATAATGATCAAATATGAATATTTATGTTTGGATACATTTTATAACATTAATAATAAAAAACATTAACATTGAACATTATAATGCACTATGAATGCTGCCACAATTATTTACAAGGAAACAGAATTGATTGTTGTTCAATGCATGATTTAAGCTGTAAATGGTTTCTGTCTACTGTACACCATGCTCTCGGTTAAAGTTTAAATGGACTTTTTTCTATCGCTGACCCAAGGTTGTGTATTAACCCGCCACAGGACCTGAGATCTTCTCCCTCTCTGTCTGAAGACTCATCTGTATTCACTGGCCTTTCTTCAGATCTTATTGAATCATACTGTGCTGTTTCCATGTGCAGAACCTTAGTATATACATGTGTTTAAATGTGCTCTATAAATAAAAAATGCTTGCCTTGACGTTAAGAATATCTCGATAACTCAAAACATTTACATGCTGCAAATAATTTCAGTTTTGTCTTTGCCTGGTATTTGGTGAGTAGTTTGCTCTTCCACTGCGAGTGAATGTCATGTATTGACAGTCTCAGGTTGTGCTTGCTGTAACTGAAGATCAGAGACTTTGGTTCATCCAGCAGTTTCCCACCGATCTGTTTTTCTATCTGCAGCACCTCCTGTCCACACAAACACATAACAGTCAACTGTGCTGCACCATTTATGATACATTCATATACAACATATAAACATTACAGTCACTCAATATATAGTCATTTCAAATGGCTCTTATTATCTTTTAAAGTAAGAGTTTGGTGCAAACTTTAACATTCACAACATTCACAAGTTTTTCCCCAGAACTTATTTACATACAGTATAGAGCTTAGATAATAATAATAATAATAATAAAATTCTGTGATATTAAGTGATTTTAAATGACTATGAAATGTTGTACTGCAATATATTAAATCACTGAATCATTGAAATTAAAATATTAAAATAAATTAAATTAAGAATATCTAATAATAATACAATTCTGTGATATTAAGTGATTTTAAATGACTATATGGAATGTTGTACTGCAATATATTAAATCACTGAATCATTGAAATTAACATTTTAAAATAAATTAATTTAAGAATATCAAATAATAATAATAAGAAGAAGAAATTATATAAAAATTAAGTAATATTACATTATTTTAATTGTTTTATTATATTAAATTACTAAATCAATTAAATTAAAATATTAAAGTAAAACAAAGTTTATAAAAAATATATTTAAATGATCACATTAATAATTATATTTATATCAACAATAAAAATAATAATAATAAATTATATAAAACCATAGTAATCATAAAATTGTATATTAAATGATTTAATCATTTTAATTAAAATATTAACGTAGCTTAAAATAATTTAAACATATTAATATTAGAAAACTCAAATGTATTTTATTAAGCAAACTCAATAAGAGTCATTCTTCAGTTAGATCTAGTCCCTGACATTACTAAACCAAAATCATAACAGTGCTGATTTACATACAGTACAATATAGAAGTAAAAAAATAAATAAGCAGTAGAAACCGCTGTCAGAGAGGGTGCAAAAAGATCAAGAAAAACTAAATTCACTATTTTTGGTGCAAGAAACCTTGGGTTACACTTTAAGTGGGCTTGAAAGCCACATTGGTCAGCTGTTACGCACTTTGAGCGTGTCCTGCGTGTCGTCAAGGCAGTACACTCTGATGTGATAGTCTAGACCTGCAGTGACTACAGGACCAAACACGGCCAGCTTGATTCGTTTAGCCGCTGACGGACAGGCGCTCTGGCCAATCAGAGAGTAGGATCCGAGAGTCTCGGTCAGGATGTGACACGCCTCCTCCCCCAGCTGAACGTAACAGGAAGTAGTGAAGTTCTCCTCTCCAACCACGACCACGTCCTGCACACAGAACACACACATTATTTACATGAGCATCTCATCACGACAGGTACAGGTTACAGTGCGATCTCACACACATACAAACCTGAATATATATTGTGGGACTTAAATTATTATTCATTTTTCATTATTAATCTTATTATTTTTAAGTTATACTTTACTTTGCCCTTTTCCAAGGAAATTTTTGTAGGATTTTAAAACTGCAGTGATATACATATAAGTAACAAATACAAAGAATAACACAGACAACTGACAAACAAATAATAATAAAATCAAATAATACAAAAAAAAATGTATTTGATTAAAATCACATAATTGTATTAAATTATAAATGATCATTAATTGTTTTCTTAGCCCCTACAGAAAAAAGTGCTTCCTAGGAAAAACACAGAAAACATTTATTAATAAATAAATGAAATATGTTTATATTTGCAATTTAAATATAATCTATTTTATATATTTATTCATTAATTATTAACTTTTAAATATACATAAACATTTTTAAATAAACCAATTCTTGCATTTATGACATCATTTTATATTAAAAAAACATTCACATTATTCTTAATGAATATTCTCAAAAAAATTACTGTAAAAATCCTTTTAATAGAATGTTTTTTTTTAATCTAAATAAATAAAAGGCAGTACAACCAACATTGCAATGATGCAATTGTAAAATTGATATTGAATGTAAAAAATACTGATCAAATTATACAAATATTATATGATAAATTTCTTTGGTTACAGTATTTTTTGGGTGAGGGTTGTACTTACTTATCATAAAATATATCATCAAAATGCAAACACTTTTAAAAGTGCTAATAACTTGAAAAAACACATTTCTTATTCCTTCTTTTGATTTTGGAGTGAAATATGACCCGGGCATGGTTTTGACAGGCTTTATGAGATATATATCCCCACAAGCAGGTTCTTCAGGACATTTGGTCTCTCCTGCACACACACACACACACACACACACACACACACACACACACACAATGCGAGAGTGTGTCTGAGGGTATCCGGGCCCCCTGGCCCCTTTTAAGAGTCCTTAAAATAGGTTTTATTGTCTAGGAAAAAGTAATTTCTTATTTCTTCTTTTGATTTTGGAGTGAAATATGACCCGGGCATGGTTTTGACAGGCTTTATGAGATATATATCCCCACAAGCAGGTTCTTCAGGACATTTGGTCTCTCCTGCACACACACACACACACACACACACACACACACACACACACACACACACACAATGCGAGTGTGTGTCTGAGGGAATCCTGGCCCTGATAAAGGAAGCAGATTTGTCCTGATAAATACGCCCCGTCCTTTTTCCCGCTCCACTCTTGCAATAATTGAATTTTGTGTTGTCTATTTGTAGAACCCTGCCATGCACAGCAGGCCAATTTACCCTGCCTGCCTTCACTGATAGTTACATTTATTTTCCAGTCATGTTTCCCTCTCTCTGCAGGATAAGTAGTTTATTGAAATGGAACGGCTCATCTCCAGAGTTTCCCTGACCTGATTCCTCTCGCTGCCACGCTTTCATTCAGCCACAGGCTGTCCCGATCGGCTGTATTCAAATTCCTCACCTCCCATTGGTCCTGCTGCGTGTGGCTCTTGAGGATGATTTGCCAGTTGTCAGAGTGGGCGTGTGCGCAGTGGTGGAGAGTGAGGATGATGGGACGGGTCAACAGGACGCCCGCGGGACCGCAGCTGACCACAGTGCTGAGCACGGCCTCCCCGTCACTGACCGCTGGCCTGAGAGAGACAGACACATTTAAAGGTATAGTTCACTCAACCATTTAAATTCTGTCATTTACTCACCCTCAAGTTGTTCCAAACTTGTATGAGTTTCTTTCTTGTGTTGGACACAAAAGAATATATTTTGAAGAATGTTGGTAACCAAACAGCTGACGGCAGCCATTGAGTTCCACTGTATTTTTTCCCCTACTATGGAAGCCAATGGCAACCAGCAACTGTTTGGTTACCAACATTCTTCATAATATCTTCTTTTGTGTTCCACACAAGAAAGAAACTCATACAAGTCTGGAACAACTTGAGGGCAAATGATAAATGATGACAACATTTTCATTTTGGGGTGAACAATCCCTTTAAGATTTTTGCCTACTTTTCCGTTTTCAGCTTCTGTTCTCTCTGAAATCACTGCAGATGCTACAGTAACACACACAATGAACCAGAACTGTTTGACATTTTCAAGTTAATAATCAATTACATCAAGTTGAACAATAAAACATTCTATATGAATTTTATTATAAATATTTATGAATAATAAACATCCTGTGCTCTACATTTCAACATTCTCAGAAAAAAGGTACAAAAGGTGCTGTCATTGGGGAAATACTTTGAATTACAAAAGCTAAGTACATCTTTGTATCTTATTTACCCCTAAAGTACATAATAGTACCTTAAAAATACCTACACTGTAAAAAATGGCCGTAAATGTAACAGTAAAAGACTGTAAAAATGCTACAGTAAAAACCTGTTAAATGGTTAACGGTAAATTCCCCAACTATATACGGAGAAAAACTGTATTGGACATTCATTTTACGGTAGTATACCGTTTTTGGAAGTGAAAAAGACTGTATAATTTACAGTGAATAACCGTAAATTGACATTCCCAGAATTCCCTGCGTTACATTTCAAATTTGATGTTTTGTTGTTGAAATAACTATGTTTCTTCTTAGTTTTTTCTTATCAGTTTTGTATATTAGGGTTGTGTGTTACACCTAATGTTGTTAAATGAATGTTTATTGCATTATTTCAGTTTCATGTGTGTTACCATGATGGTGTTTAGTGTTTGTGTGAATGACACTGTGCACCTTCTATATATGTTATTATTTAAAAGCTGCTTGTGATAGGCTTTGGTTCATCATGTGACTTTCTCATCACCACCTGCATTTGGTGGTTATCAGTGTATTACAACGGTACAAAACAGATTTCAGTACTTCAATAGGTTGGTATATTAACTTTATATCAGTTAATGAAATTACGGTATTTAACTGTAAATTTAAGCTAAAACCGTAAAACCTAAAACGATGCTACCGTATTTTTCACGGTAAAATTCCGGCAACCACAGCTGGTTTTTTACCATAAATTTTACGGATTTTTTTTTTTTACAGTGTATTAGTACTTTAAGAGTACATATTAGTAACTAAATGGTACATATTAGTACTTTAAAGGCACATATTAGTACTTTAAAAGTACATCGTACCTAAATTTGCTCCAGCAGAATGTAAATTTTTTTTTTATAGTTTCATTGACATTTTTATTCATGCATATTGTTTATGCAGAGCTGGATAGGTTGCTGAAGTTAGCTTTCCCCCCCGTCATATTCATTACTTTTAACTTGCTTTTTTTCCTCAAGTACTTGATTACTCATATTTTTTTATATGTGTTTTAGCATTCAACTACAAAATGACTTGCTTATGTTTGGGCTGTGTGTTGTGTGTGTGTGTGTGTGTTTTTTTTTACCTCATGCTCTCTGTCCTTTGTACGGTCACAAACATCTCATAGACGCGACCTTGAGGAATCGCACCAGATGGAACCAACAAACTCACACCTGAAACACATTACAGAGAGACTGATTCAGAGAGAAACCACACACCTTGTGCTGACTAGTTTCAAGCATCAACTTGATTGTCTGTCCTTACTGAAAACAAAAATGTTGTGAAGCAACAAAATCACAGCCAACCAGAACATACTTAATGTTTAATATGCAATATGGAGCAGGATTTTGGACCAATGAGACTGTACTGAGGGCGGGGCCACGCGGCACAACATGAAAAAAGTGATGCCATTACAAGTAGTGGCTAATTAGGACTCAGACTCAGAATTCAGATGAATGCACTTTCATGATAGAAAGAATGAAAAATACAATACCAAAATGAAAAAGACAACAATATATAGAATGACAGACAGAACAATATATAGAAAAGGAGGATGATAGAATGATAGATAGAACGATGGATGGATGGATGGACGGACGGACGATGGATGGATAGATAAAATGATAGAATGATGAATAGAATGCCAGAACAACAGTACTATAGATAGAATGATAGATAGAACGATAGATAGATAGATAGAACGATAGATAGATAGATAGATAGATAGATAGATAGATAGATAGATAGATAGATAGATAGATAGATAGATACAATTATAGAATGATAAATAGAATGCCAGAACAACAGTATGATAGACAGACAGACAGACAGACAGATAGATAGATACAGTAGATAGATAGATAGATAGATAGATAGATGGTGATTCATATAATGTCAGTGGAGTGTTATGAGTCGATTCTTCAGTTCATAAAGTGGATTACTAGCTGCCGTCCTCTGGATTCATTTATCACTGTCACTGAAGGTGTTCATCCTCATCACACGAATGTGAGATTGTGAATGTGACATTTCCATCGCATCTTACTGGAACCCGTTTCACAGCGATTCATAAATATGTTGGACACACAGCGAGGACCAGAGTGTGATTGTGCGGGGGTCTGTTCTTACCTGAGTTGGGTATGATCAGATGACCTCCCAGCGTGTTAAACGACCCTAACGCCGTACACGTGGGGTCCCGTGCGCGTGGCAGTGTCTGGTTGCGTGGGGTCATGGGGTCGCTTTCCAGAAGAGAGTGTGTGACTTTGGGGGACAGGGTGGCAGAGAGGTCAGAGGTCACGTCTTCCTGAGGGGTCACTGTGCCAGAGAAGTTGTAGACTTTGATCTTGAGGTTGGGAAGCGGCAGCGGCTCCAGCAGAGGGGAGCTGGTCATGGGGATTTTGTCTGAGATGTCATGGAGGGCATATACTGGACTGCGATACAGCGCAGCCGCTGTGGACAGATCAGGGGTTGCGGCCAGCAAATCCGCTGCAAACACACACATGAAATTACTATTAAATATCACTAATAACACTTGTAGATCAATAGATTTGAAAAAATCAATTAAATTGAATTTTAAAATCTAATTTCAGTATTCCGTTTGTCTTCTGATATCATTTCCAGCTCTGGCTTTTGTCATAAATGAATTTTGTCAAAATTGTATTTTTCGTATGATATCATACAGTACCGTTTGGGGTCAGTAGGATTTTTCAATATTTTTCTCTACTGCTCACCAAAGCTGTATTTATTTGATTAAAAATACAGTAAAAACAGTAATATTGTGAAATATTATAAAAATGTCAAATAAGCGTTTTTTATTTGTAAATATTGTAATGTGTAATTTATTCCAGTGATGTAAAGCTGAATTTTCAGCATCATTAATCCAGTCTTCAGTGTCACGTGATCCTTCAGAAATCATTTTAATATGCTGATTTGCTGCTCAAGAAACATTTTTTTATTATTATCAATGCTGAAAACAGTTGTGCTGCTTCATATTTTTGTGGAAACCATGATACATTTTTTTCAGGATTCATTAATGAATATAAAGTTTCAAAAGAACAGCATTTATTAGAAATAGAAATCTTTTTGTCATCTTACTGACCCCAAACTAGTGTTTATGCAAAACCACAATGACTTTAAAGTTATCTGACAGTTATCTGATTGTCTGGAGTTGTTGAATACCCCCCCCCCCTTCTATATTAAAAGTCACATGATAACTTTCTGAGAGGAACAAAAACACACATATTAAGACATTATTTACTGAAAATGGTCTCCCTTTTCTAAAGCTCTCAAATATTTAAATCAGCGTACTTATTTATTTTTTTTTAGTTTGTTTCTGCCATGGGATAAGAATTTAAACTTTTTTTTATATTTTGCAATTCTGAGTTTTTGTTTATGAATTCTGAGTTTACATCCTTGCAATTGTTTTTTGTTTCCGCCACGGAATAAAAAATTATAAAAAGGTAATTGTAACTTTTTAACTCACAATTGTTACTTTTTCTTGCAATTGCGAGTTTCACAATTCCTACTTTTCACATTTATATTTAGAATTGCACATTTATATCTCACCATTCTCACTTTATATCTTGCAATTGTGAGATTACCTTTTATATTTTTTATCCCATGGTGTAGACAAGCTTCCATAATTTGAAGTATGAAATAACCAACTTTGTATTAAATTTCCATACAAGTGACCATTTTTAAACTCGTGAGATCAATATGCATAATTTGGCATAATTTAGAAGTAAACAAAGCTAATAAACACTTTCATTGCATGTAACAGAGCTGCTTGATTTGTGCTCCAGAAAGTCATAGGGGTTTGGCACGGCATGAAGGTGGGTAAATGACTTTTTTAGCTGACCTATTCCTTGTATGTATTTCTGTTGTGTGCTATTTTAAAATGAAATCACCGTGTTTGTGTGTGTGTGTGAGAGAGCTTGTAAAGGACTCTTACAGCCAGCGGCTGGTAACCTCCATACTGATTGCTCATTAACATTCAGCTTCCCACAGTGACTAAACAGAGGATTGTCACTTCGCACATCAGCTCTCTTTCTCTCTCCGGTTACTCAGGTGTGAGCCTTACTCACCATGAGCACCGTTCACACTCCTGACACATGTTTAAGTCATTCATCACGCAGCGATCGTTGAGAAAGTGTAAACCGCACTGCATTGCATCAGACCTGTCGAAGTAAACGTGTCCAAACCCAGGAGAGATCTTCATCAGAGCAAAACTGACGGATGTGAATGTCTCGCTTTACCATCACAACATCCCCTACCTCTGTATTTATCAACTCATTCACCGACATCCTCCGCAGCATCTCCACATGGTGCTTTCACCCTGACAGGGTGCCATTTACACCTACAGCCCGCTTCATGTTTAATTAAAGAGAAAACGAGCGGGAAAATGAGGGGAAAAGCGAGACAATATGAGAGCGAGCGGAACGACGATTCTTCATTAATGATAACCTGTTCAGGTGGGAGAGTGACAGGCATTCTAATGTTCCTCAGATGAAATGTCACCTGAGTCTCTCTCACACACCTCACAATTTAACACTGGAACACTGCCTTCCACTCCGTTCACCACTTGATTGGAATTTTAATCATTCTTTTGTCTTACGGTGACACACACACACACACACACACACACACACACACACACACACCCACAGCTCCTTTCTGAAACTGTTCCATTGACTGAGAGCTGCAGTAAGAGAGATTGTGTCTGAATAGCACGTTTGAATGTTTTACCAAAGCAACAATCCACTCCAGGATGTGCGTTATAGTGACTTGCATGATTACAATGCCTAAAATCCCTTTCAATCAGGTAAAAACAGCAATATGACAAAAAGACACAGATGTTCAAAAATGGTTACATTTGTTATTAAAGGGAAATTTCACATAAAATTAATATTCTGTCATCACTTTGTCACCTCCATTTCATTACAAACTTGTATGACTTTTTTTCCTCTGCAAAACACAAAAGAAGATATTTTTAATAACGTTGAGGTCCAAATGAAAATTAATTCAATTGACACTCATTGTAATATACTGCATTTTGCAGAAGAAATTAAGTCTGCCAATAATTCAGAAATCGAAGTTCCAAATTCTATATAATAAACATGTATGGTTTATTTATGTACAGTAGACACATAAATTTCTTCTGCTCACCAAAGCTACATTTATTTGATCAAAAATACAGTAAAAACTGTAATATTATAAAATGTTATTACCATTTAAAATAACAATAGGTTACTGTTAGTAACCCTGGTTCTCTGAAACATCGAGCAGAAGCATCCAATTGCACCAAGTCTGGCTAGACAGACATGAGCCCGTGCCCAATGGCAGGTAAGGGACCGCCCCTTCACCAAGCGCATAAAGTCCCAGCATGCGCTACCTTTCCTCAATGAGCATATTTGCTTCTCGTGCAGCAAGCGGGGTAAACTTGGTGGATCTCTCCACTCAATGTTTCAGAGAACCGGGGTTACGAACAGTAACCAATTGTTCTCTTTCATCATCTATGGGAGATATGGACAACTCCCCGGTTGCCCAGTACACTCACAGCGGAGCCCTGTAAGTCAGAGGACGGTCACCTGAAAGGCGGTGCTTGACACGTCACCAAGTAACTGACCCCTCACAAAGTGAGCATGCAATACCAGCCATAAAACATGAGATGTGGTAACATGATACAAAACCTGACAACACACATAATGCTATGACATATATATACATATATACAGTATATATAATATGGTGTCAGTGGAGGGTACAGATGACCTGGTTAATGACATGAATAAGCCAGTCTGGTCAACCCGAGCTTAAAATGTGTAGCAGGTCTAAAGGCACAAGGCTACGAAGAGCCCACACCTAAAACAGAGTGAGCTACCGGGGTGTGGGTAACATCAAGCCGGTAGTATCTGACAGCCATATGTGGAGAGGCCCAACTTGCAGTGGCACAAATGTACTGCAAGGAAACCCCTTTAAATAGAGCCCAGGAGCCCAGGAGGCCTGGAAAACTGGGAAGCCCTTCATTAATCTACGAATAAGGGGGTGTTGCCCCACCGTATTGCCATCAAACCCAACATGACATGCAGTGATAGCCTTAATAGTGAAGAAACCTTATTAGTGGAGAAAGAATTACCACCATCGATAAGGTCTTGCAAAACCCCCCAAAATGTCAACGACTGAGCACTGATATGATATCAGCTGACGCCCCTCGCACCACTCCTTAAATACACGCCACTTGAAATCATAAAGTGAGCATGTAGAGGAGGCTCTAGCATTCTGCATGGTAGCAACAACACAAGGGGGGAGCCCCAATGAGTTTAAATTTGCCCTCTCATGGGCCAGGCCCAGAGAGCTACCCTGTCTGGGTGCGGGTGGTATATTTCCCCGTTCACTTGAGACAGGAGGACTGTGCGTAATGGGAGGGGCAATGGCTATGCATACAGAAGAGGAACTATCTCTGCCAGCCATGAAGATATGGGCCACCTGGGTGTTATCAAAATCAGAGTCAGGCTATGTTCTTTCACCCTGACCAGAGTAGGAGATATCAAGCAGAGTGGAGAAAAAGCGTAGAGCAGCACATTGGGCCATGGGAGGGCCAGTCCTCATCCCGTAGTGAGAAGAACATAGGACAATGGACGTTTTCGCACGAGGCAAAGAGCTCAACGGCTGCCCGACTGAACCTCTTCCATAGCAGATCCACTATCTGAGGGTGGAGGCGGCATTCTCTGTAGAATGGGCTCCCCCTCAACAAAAAGGTCTGCACCCCTGTTCAGAACGCCGGGACATGGGTCGCCCGTAGTGACAGAAAGTGCTGCCTGCTCCATACTTACAGCTTGTGAGCTAGAGCATGAAGCTTGGAGGAGCGCATCCCCCCTTGGCGGTTGATATGTGCCACGGCTGTGGTTTTGTCACAACGCACCAGCATGTGACGCCCATGCAGGCAGGGCAGAAAATGTTTCAGAGTTTTTCAAACAGTAAGGAGCTCCAAATAATTTATGTGGGCTGAGTGAAGTGTGCTCGGTCATTATTCTGCCCTCTTGAGTGGCTCCCCATCCTGTTATGGCATTCCGAGCATTCCAGAGGACGAGGTCGTTAACTGTGAGGATCTCTTTCCACAGAGTAGGCGAAGGCAATCCCTGTGTCAGCAGGCTGTTGACCTAAATAATCCAAAAGCTCTGCCTGGTACGCGGAGAGTAGAGAGGAAATGTTGAGCACCCTGACAGACAAGACTGAGGATTTATATGTGGCCTGGTGAACTGAGGCAGAAAAACGATCCATTTTGTTCGTCAATACCGGCTTTGGAGGGGGGAGCAGCCCGCCCTGGACAGTGCTAAGATGCCTGGCGATCGAGGGGGATCACCCAAGCCTAGCACCACCATATCCTTAACCTCGAGGCCCGCAAGACCATGTTTGAGGTTAAGTGGATATCTCCAGTAATGCCTCATGTGCTTCGCGCATGCTGGGAGGATGGGGAAGAGTTGTTTCCTCAGGCCGGGAGGGTGTCCAAGCAGCTTCCTGTCATAAATATCCCTCTCCTGGTCGGTGGCGCTCTGTGGAGCCGGCCACTCAATTTTGAGGCGAGCGGCCGCTCGTTTACAGACATCCACGTCAGAGGGCGGGATGGCCTCCTCGTCCTCTGAGACCCTGAGAAGGCCCGCGTCGTCATCATCACCAAAATCGGCCAGTTCATCTGCGAACGGGGGGTTGCCCGCAAAGATATCCTCTTCGGGGAATGCCGAATTGGGCTGGTCGGCTTAGTCGAAAGATGTTGCGGCCCGGGAGGCCCCCGGTAGCACGTCGTCATCGCCGTGTCCCCCATCTGAATCGGAAAGGCCGAGCTCGACGCACTGGGTTGCGGCAACTTTAAGATGGTGCCGCAGGAGCTTTTTAGGCAACCTAAGGCAATGACTGCAATTTTCAGGGTTCTCCAAGACCTCTTCTGCATGTTTGAGGCCCAGGCAGACCACGCAGAATGTGTGAAGATTATTAGAGGCGATAAGCGCGCCACACGCGGCCGTGATAAACTATCCCCAGAATAAGCAGCCGATTTCGAGAGCGACATGCTGGCAAAAAACTGAGAAAAATCTGCTTGGACTTTATGCGTGCGGTGAAGGGGCGGTCCCTTACCTGTCATTGGGCACACGCTCCTGTCTGTCAAGCCAGACTTGGTGCAATTGGATGCTTCTGCAGAGGTCAGGCACGGATGCCCGTCCCATAGTTGGATCTCGAACACGAGATGATGAAAGAGAACTGTTTTCTATTTGAATATAATTTAAAATATAATTTATTCCTGTGATGCAAAGCTGAATTTTCAACATCATTACTCCAGTTTTCAGTGTCACATGATCCTTCAGAAAACATTCTAATATGCTGCTGATTGCTGCACAAGAAACATTTCTTATTGAAAACAGTTGTGCTGCTTCATATTTTTGTGGAAATATGTTTTTTGTTTTTTTCAGGATTCTTTGATGAATAGAAAGTTCTAAGAACAGTGTTTGTTAGAAATAGAAATGCTCTGTAACATTATAAATGTCTTTACTGTCACTTTTGATAAATTTAAACTTTATATTTATAACCAATCAGAGCTCAACAGTGATCCACTAATGAAGGTTGAGCGTCTCACCTGAGCGTGCTTGTTTGATGCTGACAGGCTGGAATCCTCCGTTCAGCACAGACGAGTCGATGATGTCAGAGTGAAAGCGCCGATGAGTTTTGCGGTACACAAGCAGTGCCACGATAGAAGAGACAATCAGACACATGACCACCGCCATGATGATACCCACGTACAGCGCCACCTCATCTCCACCCGGCGCAGCTGCACAACAGACAAACACAGGTTACGGTCAGAATGAAGACTAGCCTATACATACTGCATACTATGTACAATGTTCCCTCTAATGGCAAGCTCACACTACATGATTGAAAGACTAGACGAATCACTGTGTTGCTCACACTACGCAACAAGATTTCTTCTCATCTGTCGCCGTCTTGTCATAGCTAAATTACAGCGATTATAGGCCATATCTTCAAGCATGGACGATCAACTGGCCCTTCAATTGATCTGTGCAGTTATTTTATCTGAAAGAAAGAAGAAATCACGACAAAAGAGAATATGGCAGAAACAATGGCTTGGAAGACGTGGAAGACGTGGACAACAAGGACTGTCAGTACTGCAGAAAGAGTTGGAAGTAATTAAACGGTACAATGAAACATGGTACTATATACACAATCTATGCATTTGTTAAATTTATTTCTAGTTAGTTGATTTGATTAATTTGTGGCTTTTCGTTCCTGTTCATAAAGATGCATGATAAGAGTGTTTATATCATCTGCACTGTGATTGGCTGGATTAGTTCCACCTTGTCATTGTGTCGCTCACATTACGAGATCATGTGGCGATAATATCAAACAGGTTTGAAAATGTCGTAGCGTCTGTGATAGCTTGAGACAGGTTCGGATCACGTTGCTGACCTGCTCATACTTAACGAGCTTCGGCAACCACAATGAGCACCGATTTGGTCACGATCCGGGGGTTTTGTCACAGACTATGGAAATCTGTCCGCGACCGCAAAATACAGCCAAAAATCCTGTAGTGTGAGCCTGGCTTAAGCTGTGCGCGTTACGACCGTGCAGAAGAAATAATATGCCGCGCACAGGACAGACGCAAAAAACATAGTTTGGAAAGCCATTTGATTGAATTCAATGCAAAATAATTGCAATGCTCGGGTAAAACGCTATAGAGTTGGTGTCGCTATAGAGTTAGAACCGGTGAATGCGGTTTACAGGTTTCATAGAAAGAGAATGATGTGCAACAAATGAGTCGCTGTAGAGATCAAATACTTTAATGGTTGCGGACGAAATAGCTCGAACCAAAGAGCCAACGCAAACACAATGACGTGAAATAAAACGTCATCCTGTTTGAAAGAAGAGTGGCTTGATTAAGTGCTGGAAATAGCGGATGATGGGCACAGTATGGTAACAAAACTTAGTCACACACGGGTGTAGTAGTGTACAAACTCTAAACTCCGATAACTATATACGAATTCAAATGTTCACGTTTTTTGAAAATATTTAGCTTACAGATCTCAGTTTAAATGCTTCAATTTGTTTTCTGTTCTATTCTATTATATCAGTTTAAATGTTTCAGTTTGTTTTTATAATAATTGACCTCAAAAAGGGAATTCATGAGCAATATCTGCTTCATTTTTTCATATAATATTATGATATAATTGTTCAACTATAAAATTATACTAAAATAACACTGTTTCACCTACCATTTTTAACACAGCATATACTGCAGTATTCGGATTAAAATGACAAATCATTATAGCAATATGGGTTAAAGGTCATGTCTGAGAATGGCCTTTAAAACAACGGCATTAATCAGTATATAAACCCCCTGCATCAATCATTAGAAGTTTTCACAGTAAGAGAGAGAAAATTAGACCGCCAACTGCAGGAAGATGAAAAAACACCCTGAAAATAGACAGTCAGACTGCCAGAGAACAGAATCCAAGTCCTTTAATTTAATGAGGCTATAAATTATTACATGCCATATTGCTCATCTTCCATGAAATCAGCCTCAATTCTTCAGCAGACTGAAGGAGAACAATAGTGACATGTTCATCCGACTTCTTTTCCTGTGGATTCTCTCTCTCTATACATGTGTGTGTGTGTGTTTCTGAATTTGTGTATGTGGAGATTAAAAGGGGATCAGGGCCAAAATGAAACCACGGCTCTGAAACATCAAAGAGAGAAGCAGACAAAATCGTCACAGTCTCTGATGTTTAAAGTGTGTGTGTAAATGTGTGCTTAAATCCCCTCTTCCGTATCTATTGGCTTTGTAAAGCACAACCTGGTGCTCATCAATCATTAGTCGCAGCGAGACTGCAACAAAGGTACACAGATTAAAACTCCACTCATGCTTCAGACATCTGACTTGTCAGGCTGGCATTAACAGCAGCATGTCTTAAAGACAGACTAGGCACAGGGTTATGAATATTCATTAGGATCCTTCACAGACTTAAGCCTATTGGTTAGACCACACTGATCCATCTTACCAGCAGAGGGCGCCAAAATGATGTAAAAATACTTAGTTAAGTAAAATTTATTTGGTAGAGCTTTTTCAAAACAGTGTTACAGTAAAGCATGAAATTAATGTTTATAATATCTTAATATCTTGATGCCTTATAGTTGTATTTAGCAGATTAGAGCTGGGCGATAATATAGCTTCATTTTGTGACGATACAAGTAATCAAGCCGTTGAGATTTTTATATAGTATATATTGCTTGCATAGAAAAAGTTGAACATACTTTATTTATGCAACTTTATATAATATTATACAGTTGACATTTTTTGACTATATAAATATGTACATAGTTCACATTTATAAATATAAACACAGTTCACATTTTTGCGACAATATCATGCAACCAAAATATATGGCTTATTTTATATATATATATTTACTATAATATAAATTTAGTATATATGCATTTACTATTTGTTTGCAAATACTAAATATATAACAATTATATAATATAGATAATAAAGTGGGAATATATGAAATATACACAATATAATAATACAGGTACTATATAATATAGATTTTAACAACAATAAATACTTAGTATTTATGCATGTAATATTTGTTTGCTGACACTGAAAATATAACATAATTATAATATAGATAATATATAATACAGAATTTTAATTTTTTTGAAGAAATTGGCTGTGTACAATGTCCAGGATGTGTTAGACTGCTGTGGATGGTAGCCAGAACCGCATTATTTGAGAAATCATTCTTGTTTGTAACACAAACAAGTTACACATTAAAGTTTAATATTTATGGTTATAGGTTTATTCAAATTGTATGAGCAATAATGTATGAGCAACTTAGTAAATGTAAAATAACTAGTCTACCCAGTAAATCCCACAAACTTTGATAGTGAATTGAAATTCTTATTCTGTGTGTGTGTTTACAGTATGAAACTCAAAGCAGCCGCTGAAGTCTGTGTCACAGCGGGCGGGCGCTCTAAACACAGTGCTGCACACGCAACCTCTCATCATCTCTCGTTATTTCCTTGTTTTTCCTCAGTGACCTTAGTATCATCTCTCCCCTGCAGTATTGATTTGCTTACACCCATAATTAATTTACAATTAGTGGCAAAAATTTATCACAGCTGTGTCCTAATGACTAATATTATTCGATTACTGACTGTAACCAAACATGATTGTCATTAGTTATTTATCTCATTAACCATTAAGCGCTCATCTCTCTGTGTGTGTGTGTGTGTGTGTGTGTGAGTGTGTAATTCTGATATGCAATGGACAAATTATACAATGACTTTCATGCAGAGTCGACTTTGTTAAAGGAATTTCTATACACATAATTATTAATATAATTTCTATGTACTTACATTGATGTTTGTCATGTGCAACCTAAATTGCCACCCAAATCACATAAACTAAAGTTAAAATGAAAACTAAAAATGAAAACTAATTCTAAAAATGAATTCTACAAAAGTATCTAAAATTGAAAAACAATGAATGAATTAATTAATTACAATTTATTGCGTAATGAAAATTAACATACGGTGCACAGTATACATACTGTATAGTGCAGAAAAACGAAATATTAGTATGTTAGTATGCTACACCAAACAGCCATAAAAGTGCACTTATTTGCCAAGACATTTCTCATTTTCATTTAGTTTAACTTGTAGTACTAAAACAACTAAATAAATAAAAACACTATATACATACTATAAACATTTTTTTAAATAACAATGACAAAAACACATAAAATGACTAAAACCTCAAATTTAAAATAATCTCTAAAATCTAAAAATAAATCAATAATAAATTAAATCCATTTTAAAAATGAACAAAAAATGGACAAATTATACAATGACTTTCATGCAGAGTCGACTTTGTTAAAGGAATTTCTATACACATAATTATTAATATAATTTCTATGTACTTACATTGATGTTTGTCATGTGCAACCTAAATTGCCACCCAAATCAGTTAACAAAAGATTTTAAAACAAAAACTGAAGTTTACATAGTTCCACTTGTTAACATTAGTTAATTACACTAGTTATCATGAACTAATGATGAAAAATACTTTTTAAGCATTAATTTCACCATTTACAAATAGATGATTAAAATCAAAAGTTGTATTTTTATTAACCAATGCCAATAAGGATTAATAACAGATTTGGAGAAATGTAGCATTCCATCCCTTGCTCACCAGTGGATCCTCTGCAGTGAATGAGTGCCGTCAGAATGAGAGTCCAAACAGCTGATAAAAACATCACAATAATCCACAAGTAATCCACAATCTAATCTAATACAATCTGAGTTATATTAAATAATGTCCAGGCTAATCCATGCTTTATAATGGGAGAGGATGATAGCCCAAAATTGTCGCACGCACATCCAGCGGATGACGTAGGATGTAGGCAAACACGGTGACAAACGTGGAAGCTCAGAGGAGAGAGCAAAAAACACCAGTCACGAATTAGTAGTACAAAACGAGGAGTTGTAAAGAAAAATGTCAGAGGACTTCGATATAAGCTAAGAGGACACTGGTTCCCTTTTAGTCAGTCACTCCGAGTCCGGCGATGCTTATACGGCCTGTGGAGAAGCTGCCTCCGCCTTACACACTATGGCGTTACTGCAGGTTCATCAGGCCAAGGCACTGAGGGACCTGCACGGGGGTGGTCATGATCCGGAAGTTCTGAAAGAGTTCCGAACCGCTACTGACCTCGCGCTCCAAGTGACGAAGGTCACCGCGAGTTCTCTGGGTCG